CCCCCCAGGCTTTATGACAAGGACTCGTCACTTGCAGGGTACTTGGGGTCAAGATGCAGCGACATTTCCGATTGCAACTACGCCATCCAGCACGTGGCGTGTGACGATACCTGTCAGTGCATCAAACCATACGTGGGCTTCAACGGCGAGACGACGTGCTTGTAAGTTCGAAAAAGCTGCTTAGCCTACTCATAAATAGAGTGTGCTTGATTTTTTTTTGTAGAAATGATCTTATTTGCTAATAGAAGGCAAATAAAAGTTATATATTTATTAACGATCGTTAGTCGAAAATCATGTTTTGGGATGTAATCATAAAATCGAACTTATACATAGAGGAAATAGAGTAAATGGTTTAAACAATATATCACACAGAATAAGAGCTGAACGGCAAACACCATAGGCATAACCACTCGCTCTCTTCCCGACAGTACATAGGTGCGGGAACCGGGGGGGGGGGGCGTGGGGGCACTTTGCCCCCACAACCCTGGGGCCGTGGGGGCGGTGCCCCCACAACTTTGAGACGGAATGCCGCACTTTTTCCCCAATGTTTTCTTTTTTGTTGAAAAAGCAAAATGATGAAAAAATAAGTGGCCTAAAACCAATGAGAAAACAAGATGATCTGTATTATGGTGCGACCCCCAGTCTGAAAGTAGTTCCCGCGCCCCTTCGACAGTGATAACGCCATGGGCTGGGGCGTCGCAATCAAGACTGCCGGCATTACCGTCCTGGTGCTGGCTGTGGGCTTCTTCATCGCCTTCGGGGTCAAAGGATGCACCAGATCCGTGAGGTATTTACATTGAAGCAGCTTATCCCACCGTATCTGAGTAAACGTATCTTTATATCATTCTTTCAGCGTATCTTTATATGATTTTAACCCGCGCCGGGACGGTGCTCCAAGACTTCCGCGCCGGGACGGTGATCCGAGACTTCCGCGCCGGGCCGGGGGGGGGGTGTCTGAACACCCCCACCCCCTTCTAACTCGGCTCCTGGGCCACGTAGCGACACGCGGTAAGCGGCAATCGAAAGAACGTCCAAAACAAAGACGAAAGCACTTCGGTCATTAGGTCAAAGGTCAGGTCACCAGAGGTCACCAAAGGTAAATGGTAAAAAAAGGTCACCAGCTGGCTATTTCAACATTTTGGAAACTGCCAACAGCTAACTCGGGAGCCGAAAGAGCTACAACGCCACAGAAAAGCGCATTCGATAGCCCTTTTACAGACCTTTCTGAGTAATGTTCTCAGATTTGACCTCAGGTCAACGGTTTAGCCTCCAGAGGGCAAAAACTCCAAAAATAGCCGTTTTTACGAAGTGTTTTTTCGGCAATAGCTTTTGACTCCGAACAGCCATGACATTACTTTTGCCAGCATCGTGTTCTTCTCGTCGCGACACATCGAATGAACTATAATTTGCCCTTGCAAGGCCAACTTGAAAAGTTGACCTCAAGTCAAGATCATGACCTGACCGGAAATTGTCATGTTGCATATCAGTCGATCTGCATCGTCAAGCCGAAGACATCTATAAAGGTGTTTTCATCGCGCTGGCATGTCTCTATCAGAAGTTATTAGCGAAAAACTGTTAGATACTATTCGTGACCTGAGATGACTTCTGGGGCATAACGAAGGGTCACAGGTGCCATTTCCGGTTCAGTGTGTCAATTTTACCTTCATCCCGATGTTTGAGAGTGTCTATAATGACGTTCGCGCAAAAGAGACGCTTTTCAGTTTTCTCCCATTGACCAATAAAGGTTAGGCCGCAAAATTGACCTGACCATAGGCTACCGATATCGAAATTCCGAGATATACTAACACGGAACAAAAATGATAGACGAACGCGTTTCGGCTAAATCACCGTCATCAGCGTCTAAAAGGAGAACAAGAGGCACACATCGAGCAAATATCACAGTTCAATCGTTTTGATTTTTACATACACTTTTAAACAAGCATGTGACAATGTGGTTACATTTCCTTTGACAAAGAGAAAATATCCTAAAAGAATCCTAAGAGAATAGCCACATTGTACAGTTTACACAGGTGTTGCACAATTCATATGTGGATGTTTAAAATGCCAAACAACGCCGCTGCTTTTGCCCACTTCATGAAACCAACCCTGACATTAATGGTATCACTCGTAGCAATAAACGCCGCTTCAGTAGCTTTTCTGTTGTCGCGATTACTACATGACGTGAGTACCTTTGCCCCGTCCCAGTATGGGAGATGGTTTGAGTTCTGAGCATGTAGAACAAACGCACTGTGTTGCATGTTATTTCGTAGGTCACGTCTGTGCTCTTTTAATCTCGTTCCAATACCCCTTCCCGTCTCCCCTCGGGGAGACATCGGGGAGACGGGAAATACATCGGGGAGACGGGAAGGGGTATTGGAACGAGATTAAAAGAGCACAGACGTGACCTACGAAATAACATGCAACACAGTGCGTTTGTTCTACATGCTCAGAACTCAAACCATCTCCCATACTGGGACGGGGCAAAGGTACTCACGTCATGTAGTAATCGCGACAACAGAAAAGCTACTGAAGCGGCGTTTATTGCTACGAGTGATACCATTAATGTCAGGGTTGGTTTCATGAAGTGGGCAAAAGCAGCGGCGTTGTTTGGCATTTTAAACATCCACATATGAATTGTGCAACACCTGTGTAAACTGTACAATGTGGCTATTCTCTTAGGATTCTTTTAGGATATTTTCTCTTTGTCAAAGGAAATGTAACCACATTGTCACATGCTTGTTTAAAAGTGTATGTAAAAATCAAAACGATTGAACTGTGATATTTGCTCGATGTGTGCCTCTTGTTCTCCTTTTAGACGCTGATGACGGTGATTTAGCCGAAACGCGTTCGTCTATCATTTTTGTTCCGTGTTATTATACTTGTCTCAACTGAAATACAATTCCGAGATATACGTTTTATAGATACTATTACTCTCATCAAAACTGCAAAAGTTTCAAGGCCATCGTTTTGTCGGTGTAGCTATGACGAGCATTCTAATTGTTTCTGAGGTGAGGTGACTCGGCATGACCTGGTGACCTGACCTTGAACGACCTGGGTCTGTAATTTTCACATGTGCGGAAAAGATGCACGAACAGGTGAGCTAAAAACGGCGCCGCAGAGCGCCTCCGCTTTTGAAATATCTGAGAACAAACCCAGGGGGGGGGGGGTGTTCAACCACTCCCCCCCCCCCGCCCGGCGCGGGTTATTAAACAAAATGCTTTAAAACGTTTTAAGCTGAGCTTTTGCACACCACGAACTATCAAGTATCAAAAGATCGTTAAGAAGTAAGCACAGTGACTGAAGAATTTGGTATCGTTAATTTTTGTTTAATGTTGTTGGTTTTCTTGACTCAATTTGGGACCGCACACGAAGTGATGACATACCTTTCCCACACTTCCCCGTGTCGTTGAAGATGTCAAATGCCCAGTCCGGCGAGGTTTTTTCTTTTACATAGTTGCTTTAGTGTGGTCAGTTCAATTTCTTGTATAAGAGGTGCATTTAATGTTGATAATTCATCGTTATCGTTATAATTCTATACCCGTTTCATTATTAGTGACGAGTGCTCCGGCAGGCGGCGCATGGGTCGCCGGGTGCCCTGGCTGCGGCGCAACAGCGACATCAGCTTCAACTCGGCCGACTTTTTCGTGGGCGGCCTGAGCCAGGCGATCCTGGACCGGCCGCCCTCGTACGCCGAGGAGGACGTCGACAAGCCGCCGGCTTACGAGGACCTCTTCCCAGAGGTCAGCGCGGGTCTCCTCGGTGGGCGCGGGTAGTTGGCGATGAGCAGCTGTTGGTATTAGGAACAAGACACGAGGACCATGTATTGTTATGTATTGTTTGGTCATACCTTTAAGTCCAACTCATGATGACAAGGGAGCACTTGAATGCTATAAGCGTAACTCTTGAGGTATAAACAATAAACATGCTTTTATATGTTCCAACGGTATAATTCATGTGCATTTAAATGTTATTTCGCAAATCGACGGGTAATTACGAGCGAGCCAGCGCAGCGAGCGAAGTGAGTCTTTTCAATATAACGGAAAAATCTCAGTATGAGCTGCCCGGCCCGGCCCGGCCTGTAACGCTTTTGAGAGGCTTATATCTCAGCAACCGCTGGACCGATTGGCCTGCGGTCTTTTTTGCTGGGTAGCCCCATTCCTTCTACCCCGTAATTGACTACTTTTGATACATCTCAGTGACCGTCGTGGCACGTGCCACGTGAAAAGTCAAGGGTGTTCAAGCTGTTTTGCAAAAGAAGTGATTTTGAGAGGCCCATATCTCAGCAGCCGCTTGGGCGATTGTCTTGCGGTAATTTTTGTAGGGTAGCTGCATCCCTTCTACCAAAGGTCGGATATTCTTGATCTATGTGAGGGACCCCACTGCACGTGCAAAATGCAAAAAGAAGAGGTGCAAAATTTGTTCCCATTTCAATAACTCGGTAATTACTGGGGCGATTTCGCTGAAACTTGGCATACAGGCAGGCACCCACCAGGCAATGCATTCCCATGTGTTGCGGTTAGGGTGCTACTGCACGTGCGCACGTGCAGGGGGCGCTCCCAGATCTCGAGAACGGCTGGGCCGATTGCGCTCAAATTTGGTACACGGTTGGGGACTAGTTAGTAGGGTGCCGTGCAAAAGTCAGTTTGGACCCCTTTTGCACGTGCGCACGTGCAGAATGCCGCTTCCAGATCTCAGGAACGGCTGGGCCGATTGCGTTCAAATTTGGCACACCGCTAGCGACCGGTTAGAAGGGTGCTTTGCACAAGCCCGTTGGAAGTACCCACTACCCTCTCGCCCTTCCGCACGTGCAGGGCTCACTATCTCGCTCGCTCGTTCTTCGCCCAAAAGGCGTTTTACTGGTAATAATAACAGCTGATCTTTCGATTGAAGAATTGGGCTGAATGACGGTGTCCTTGCAGGTTTCAGTATCTGTTACCATGCTCTGTTGGCTGCACGCAGGACGGTGTGGATAATGCGGCGTTCTCCCCGGACTCCCCGTCGGGATCCCAGCCGCCGCCGCAGCGGCACCACCACCATCACCAGCCCCCGCAGCGGCAGCCGGCTGCAGCCGCGGCGGCCGCTGACCTGTCGGCCGGGTCGGCCGTGTCCCAGCCCGTGGTGGTGGTGCGCGGTCACCGCAGAGGTCTGTCGGGACCGGCCGCCATCCACCTCGGCACCGCCGACCAGACCGAGAGGGTCACTGCCGAACAGGCTAGCCAGGTCATTGCGGAACAGACTGGCCAGGTCACTGCGGAACATAATAACCAGGTCACTGAGGAACGTACGGGGCAGGTCACTGCGGAACTAGGTGGTCAGGCCACTGCGGAACAGACTGGTCAGGTCACTGTGGAACAAAACGGTCAGGCTGCTGCGGAACAAACTGTGGAACTAAATAGTCAGGCTGTTGCGGAACAAAGCGATCAGAATGTGACTGAGGAACAAAACCAAAAGACCCCCGTAGATGAAGGCGGCGAAATGGCTTCCGCTGAAGACGGAGTTCAGCACCCGACTGAAAAAGACCGCGGTCAGAAGCTCGCCGAGGAAACAGCCAGTGCAGTGACCTCCGAGCGTGATATGGTTCCTGCTGACCCGAGTACGACAGCAGACGGCGAACGGAGCGACACGGCGTCCACCGAGCAGACTGTCTCGACTGCGTCTGAGCAGACCAGCGCCGTGCCTACCGCACAGGCCAGCGGAGTGGCCTCTGGACAGTGTAACGATACCCGCACCAGCACCACGACATCCGACCAGGCCGATGTCATCACGAGCAGCAGCGAGAAATCACCCATCAGCCACTCCCCGCGGCCGGGAGCCGATGGGGCGCCGCGGCTCACGGCGCCGGAGACGAACTCTCGCCGCCAGACGAGCGGCTCTGACGGGCCGGGCGCGCCGCCGACGGACCGTGACCTGCCTGTCGAGCCGACAGAGGTCTGGGAGGACGTCCAGCTGTGATGAGACGGCGCTGGACCTCACTGGGTACGTGACATACCGCCGGGCGCGGGTAGGCGCCGGGCTGAGCGGGGGTCTGATAGAGGCCGGCGCCGCACTTATGGCGGTGGCGTGTCAAGCCAGATGGTTTTAGATGCGTGGGTTTAATAATCTGTTCCGGGAAGTGCCTGTTGACGTCATGATAGTGTTAGTTTGTCCTCGGGGAAATTAGTGGAGTCTAGTTGGTTTAGTTGTAGGACGCTACTCATGGCATGATATATTTTATCAGACAATCGGCAATGCAGGTATTTCCCCACTGTCAAGGCAGCGATCGCAGCGATTATCATCCAACGGCTTGCCGAATCGTATTCTGTTTTTCATGTTCAACAACACCCACAGACCACTGAAGAGTCTGTATAACCTACAGCGAAGCATCTAGCATATAAGTGAAAGCTTTTTATTAGTTTATATATATATATATATATATATATATATATATATATATATATATATATATATATATATATATATATATATATATATATATATATATACATCGACTACTTTCAAGTAAGGAAGTATATGACCATTAGGTATACCATGCAGTGCTATAAAGCCAGGATTGATTTGGCGATTTGCTGTGCTCGAATGAAAGAGAAATTCCTATTGCCGAAGTAAACTCCGCATTTCTTTTAAAAGTATCCACAGATAAGGCAAGGTACAGGCAAGGACTTTTATCGTTGTTAATTGGTAATTGCCTCAGAGTTTCCAATTTTGAACACATTTTTTTAAGGTAATTGCTTAGAGCTGACTCATGAACATATGCAATATCATATAACTAGGCGATATATTATATAGTTTTGTTAGCGCAGGTTGTTTGAAAATTGACAAACACTATTCGTTAGAATTATTTTTTGACAAACACTATTCGTTAATTGAAAAACAACCGAAACAGTCTTCGGTTGGGGTGTTCAGCATAGTTGGCCGCGATACGGGGCTCGGGAGGGCGTTCTTACACCAAATAATATTGAGATGTTCCGAAATGATAACGCAAGGTAGGTAGGGGGTACAGATAGCTACTATATCGACACGCGGCCGTAATGCATGCGCTGAGCCACGTTCATATAAGAAATGTCTCTACATCTGGTTGATGATAGTATTTGTGTATATGTATGAATGCACAAATGTTGTGTTATGTGCCACTACACTCACCGTATTGTGTCTGTAAATATCAAATGATCGAGAAGTGTCATATGACTCAGGAAATACACATCACATACTGGTTTTGATTTTCTTTTGATGACAAATTATGATATACATATGATTGCGTCACACTATGTGATAAATAATTGGCAATCCTCGACCGTGGAGTGGTCCGAATTAAACCCAGACTCATCTGCATTTTTCTGCTGTTACTCCCTCCAACTGGCGCTTTTCACCAATTGCTGGAGTGAGCATTCTCTATTATTTTAGGTTACAATATCAAGGGCCTGCATCACTCCTAGTGGCTAAGGTAGGTCTGGCAGCGCGGAGGACAGACGGCGCTGGAAATCGAACGCGGCTCCTCCCTTGCCCCGAACCAACGCCTTACCAACCGCGCCACTAGAACCGCGCTATTTCTAATTTTGTGATCGTTGCCGCTCGCCACTCGATTATAGAACTTTATTCAATGTGCATACAACAAACCACTACTACGCAAATATGTAATGAGCTACAGCACGCAGGAGCTTCCTTTGATGTCGACTTGGACCCCGTTTGTCACTGGCATTATCGCGTGACGACTTACTGGCTGAGCGAGCGCGGCACCAGCTGTCGATCGCGGCTGATTGACACGTCAATTCGAGACAGCTGCACGGCATGACATCTCAGCTGCCGACAGATTATCCTTCTCGAACTCCGACTCCTCCTCGACGAGCTCTGCGCGACTCGGAGAACCTGCCGGTCGTCGAATACCCGCACCGTTTCCGAACGGTGTCTCGGCCGACGCATCGGTCCCGACGGCCGCATCATTTTACGTCGTCGATCCGATGATAGGTACGCGCGGTCAGCCCATGGCCGGCCGGCGGAGCGTATCAGCGTGTCGGCGCGGCGGGGGCGGCGCGCGGGCTCGATAGCAGAGGGTAGCCGGTCGGCGGCGCGGCGCTGCGTCGGCGCACGGCGCACCCGTCGGTGGTCCCGGTCCGTCCCGGTCAGCCGGGTCAGCTGAAGGTTAGTCACCTAGTGCCGACGCCGGCGGCTGCGGTCACTGCACGCCGTGCCGCCGACCGGGCCGGACGACACGGCCACCATGGGGGACGGCAACGAGCAGCAGAACGCCGGGTGAGTGGTACATACATACGACATACCATGGTGGAGGCTACTGAGTACTGGGGTAGGTGATGATATGGCGGTAGGTGACGTGAAGTGGTCAGGTGAGAAGTAGCAGCGCCTCGGATGAGAGACATTGGTGGGTTAGGTGAGATGCAGTCGCATTTGCATTGAGAGCAAGCATTTACAGTTGCCTGTACAGACTTTTGAAAGTGCCGCGCATCGGTGTGTCAGATCCAGCGAGCCCAGCCGAAGGCACCCTGCTGGGTGCCTTCGTCAGTGACAATATCGAGGTACTATTACACTAATAAGTCTGTCAAAATCTTTTACACCTTAAAAGTAAACATGACCTGGACATTTCTCAACCATTCTGTGACCCTTTCTTCGCCTCATATGACCTTTGAGATATCTTGCACACGCAAGCGAAATAGGTATCTTTTGATAATAAGAAAATAGAGATAAGTAATACGCCTCCAATTGGCGCCTCCAAATTGTATTTTCTCCTTTTAACCATTGATGAAGAGGCCACTAAATTGGCCTGAACCTATATAACCGATATGGAAAATCTTAGATCACGTATGCAATGCATGCCTACACCATGCCACTCCATCAATCGCTGAAAGTTGCACTTCGATCGTTTAGTCCGTCAAGCTAGGGCGAGCTGTGCTTTTCATTTCAATGAAGGTTACATGATGAATTGACCGTTAATGACAAAAAATTGAAATTTTTTGATTTGTGAAAAGATTAAGTGTCTTCTTCATGCACCAAACATGGTGTCGTTGCCCCACGTTTTTAATTTGTTTTTTTGATATATATTTTTAATGATTTTTAAAGATTGTTTTTTTTTTTTTTTACAAAAGTCACGGATATCCGTATCATTACCTGTGAGCCATCCTAACACTCCCAGGCACCTTGCGAACGAATAGAAGACTGGACTGGACACATGCCAACAGACAACTGCACGCACTGATGACTGCCAATTGGTGGCGGGCCTAGCAGACGCTTACGACCGGAGCCGGGTGTCGTGACGCGGCCACTCGATTTTCGGTGACGTCGGACGTCTGGCCGCCGCGGTCCATCGATTCCTCACGTCACGTAAATCTCATCTAATAAACGCCACCACTGCACCGAAATTTAAAGAACCAACGGCGCATCGGGCACGCTTATAGACGTCGTTAGGCTTCCGTATGATCCATTCTATAGAAAGCAATACAATCCAAAGGGCTATTGGAGTGTATTTTGATGCGGCGTAAGTTATCGATAGGTATGTCCATTGTCCAATGTCTAATATATATTAACACATGGTTTCCCGTGTGTAAATGGTTTTAACGCACGACGTGGATGGATTGGAGCACGAGTGTGTTAATGCACGAGTGAAACGAGTGCATTAACGCACGAGTGCTCCATTCCATCCACGAGTGCGTTAAAACCATTTATGCACGGAAACCATGTGTTAAACTAATTGACATGCTTAACGGTGCGAATTTAAATCAAAATTAAACCTAGCCCATGCCACTAAAAGGGCCTTTTATGGGAATTCTAAGAATAAAGTCAATGACCCTTCCGAAAAACTTCAGTCGAGAAAGTCATCACTGCACGCGCGTGCACCAATTTAAATTGGTGCACGGCTACCTTCGAATTAACGCACGGTTAATCTCCAGTGAACGCACCGTAAAGTATGTATTAATGTTCAATATCCAATCTTTGCAAACCGAGGCGTGCTTAATTTTTGGTACACGATCGTATTGCAATTATCTGCGATATTAATTGCCATCGAATCACTTAAGTCGCCATGTGGCATGCTCATTATTTCCTAGGTAATGGTTCTTTCCTTAGGGCAACTCTGATTGCAATTTTCTATCACCTAATAAATAAAGCAATGAATTACATTGTACTTACACATCGATCTCACGGTGTCCTTCGATTGCAAATATCCGAAATGCTGAATAACACACAGCATAATTACGAACGAGTGAGCGCAGCGAGCGAAGCGAGTCTTTTCAATATAACGGAAAAATATCAGTACCAGTAAAACGCCTTTTGGGCGAAGAACGAGCGAGCGAGATAGTGAGCCCTGCACGTGCGGAAAGACGAAAGGGTACTTCCAACGGGCTTGTGCAAAGCACCCTTCTAACCGGTCGCTAGCGGTGTGCCAAATTTGAACGCAATCGGCCCAGCCGTTCCTGAGATCTGGAAGCGGCATTCTGCACGTGCACACGTGCAAACGGGGTCCAAACTGACTTTTGCACGGCACCCTACTAACTGGTCCCCAACCATGTACCAAATTTGAGCGCAATAGGCCCAGCCGTTCTCGAGATCTGGGAGCGCCCCCTGCACGTGCGCACGTGCAGTAGCACCCTAACCGCAACACATGGGAATGCATTGCCTGGTGGGTGCCTACCTGTATGCCAAGTTTCAGCAAAATCGCCCCAGTAATTACCGAGTTATTGAAATGGGAACAAATTTGGCACCTCTTATTGTTGTATTTTGCACGTGCACTGGGGGTCACTCACATAGATCAAGAGTATCCGACCTTTGGTAGAAGGGATGCAGCTACCCTACAGAAATTACTGCAAGACAATCGCCCAAGCGGCTGCTGAGATATGGGCCTCTCAAAATCACTACTTTTGCAAAACAAATTGAACACCCTTGACTTTTCACGTGGCACGTGCCACGACGGTCACTGAGATGTATCAAAAGTAGTCAATTACGGGGTAGAAGGGATGCCCGGCTACCCAGCA